GATTTCTCAGATCTCGTCGTTGATTCCCCACTGCTGTCGCTTCTGGCCGTCAGGGGAGCTGCATTCGCCATCCAAAGGCACCGAGCCAAACTCCGCGGAGCATCTCCCCCACTCCATCCTGAAAGGCCGAAAGCTCGGCATCTGGGTGAGCCTTCGCGAGATCTACATGGGCGTCTTGGGTGTGTCTCCGCCGCCGCCGGCCGTTGCGGCTGTGCTGCCGCTGGTCGCCGCAACCCCACCTCCGGCATCCTACCCCACATCAATTCATCTTCAGCTCGCCGTCGACCGCCTGCTCTTCCACGCGTCCGTCAATTAGCACAGTACATCGCTGGTTTCCACAACTCCGCTCCAAGTGTTCGCAACTGGCATGTGAGGAGTCATGCCACGCCACTCGCCGGGCTCATAGCCTTCGACGCTCTGTGCGGAGGATCACCCTCCGTATACCTCATCGTCGGGCCGTGTCATGCAGCCATCGTCCCCACCGTCCAAGTCTCAAGTGGATCGTAGTCTTGCCTTTAAGTGATGGGCTCGTGGCAGATGCTACCGCTGTCTCACTCACGATCATCAGGTCAGCTCCTACCAGGACTCCTTCCGCTGCATTCGTTGTCGTCGTCCTGGGCATAGGGAGCGGTAGTGCCGCCTCCAGCCTTCCTCGGCTTCACCTCGTTCTAACTCTCCTTCCCAGCATGACCATCTTCGCAATGCTCAGAGCTGGGCAGATGTTGTGGCTACATCTCCTCTAAATGTGCATTGTGAACTGCTGTCGGCTTCGACGAACCACGATCCTCATTGTGTTGCTTGTGGTTGTAATGGTCGCACCACACATGGGTCATCCACCCTGGATCTTCATTCTTTGATTGGTCCTACGTTGGAGTCACTTTGCTTAGATCTCCAGAAATTCTTCTTATCTTAGCTAGAGGAGGTGGTGCGCCCATTCAGGGATGAGGCCTCAACCATCAAGTTGTGGCTTGCATGGATAGCCAACCATTTGGAAATCGTCGAGCCACCATGCAAGGACCCCTTTGTTCCAGATTTGGTCGGTCTATTTGTCCCTTGTTCCTTATTTCGGCATTCTTCGACTCCAACACTCTTGTCTGCTTGCATGCCTATTAGGGAATCCACATTTCATGGTGAGAAGATAGTGGCCATAGTGGACCTAAACAATGTGATGGAGAATCAAAAGGAGAAATCACAGGAATGCCGAGAGCAAGCACAGGAGGAAATTTTGTGGCAAGTTGTCATCTCCGCTGAAGAACTCACCACTACAAGTGTTGTCGGACAATCAACCAGTGAGAACTGTGACGTTTTCACCGTCGAGAAATCGCAGGAGTGCTGAGAGCAAGCATAGGAGGAAAATTTGTGCCAAGTTGTCATCTCCGCTGAAGAACTCACCACTGCAAGTGTTGTCGGACAATCTACTGGTGAGAACTGTGACCTTTCCACCGTCGTTGAGCAAGGGTGCCTCCAACATGCCCTATTTTGTTGCACATGCTGGCTCCATTAGACTTCTCTAGGGAGCATGACACATCTTTTGAAGATATTGTTTTGGTTGAAGATGCGTCCGATGAGGAAGAAGCTAAGATCAGTATGAGTGTGACAATTGAGGACCCAATTGATATCATCATCCCTTTGAATGGATCCTCTCAGTCTATTGATGAGACCAAGGTAGAAGAGCCCAAGCTGCCAAGTAATCCTTCGATGGAGGAGCCGCCTCAATTGGACATGGACATGTAGATAGAGGATTGTGTTGGTCCCCCGATACATCACCCACCTGAAAGGTCCTAATGGCTAGAGGGGGGTGAATAGCCTATAAAAGTTTCTACAACAACACTTAAGCCAAGTGGTTAGACAATTATGAAGCGAAGCGAGTGTTGCGCTAGCCTACTCAAAATGCAAGCCTCCTATCCACAATTCTAGTTATCTACGATCTCTATGTCACAGAAGAGGTTAAATCACTACCACTAAGTTAGTGAGGTCTCAAAGACTAACTACACTAAAGAGCTTAGCTACACTAGAAAAGTAAATACAAGAGTGAGGTAGTGAAGTTATACCGCCATGGCAAGAGATGATCAATCAAACACAATGAATACCAATGAAATCCTCAGGAAAAGATGACATAAGATTTTTCACCGAGGTTCACTTGCTTGCCAGCAAGCTAGTCCCTATTGTAGCGATTCACTCACTGGAGGTTCACGCGCATCACACGCCTAACCCGCAATTGGGTGCCTCACAACCAACACAAGATGAGGATTCACAAGCCACGAGTAATCCACTAGAGTACCTTTTGGCTCTCCGCCGGAAAAATGTCAAGAACCCTTCACAATCACCACGATTGGAGCCGAAGACAATCACCAACCTCCGCTCGATGATCCTCGCTGCACCAAGCCATTTAGGTGGCAGCAACCACCAAGAGAAACAAGCAAAATGCACAGCGAAACACAATCACTATGTGTCTCTAGATGCAATCACTCAAGCAATGCACTTGAATTCACTCACAATCTCACAAAGATGATGAATCAATGATGGAGATGAGTAGGAGGGCTTTGGCTTAGCTTACTAGGTTGCTATATCAATGAAAATGGCCAAGAGAGTGAGCTAGAGCTAGCCAACATGCTTAAATAGGGAGCCCCTTCGAAAAGAGCCGTTGGGCTCCCCATTGTCTGCCTTCACGGGGTGACCGGACGCACCGGTCAGAACGACCGGACGCACGATGCCTAGCGTCTGGTCGTAGGGAGCCGTCCACGTGTCCTGCTTTTAATCTTGTCCACACGATCTCAATGGTCGGCTGCTCTCCTCAGCGTGTTGAGTGGCGACCGAACGCACCGCTTGTGAGACCAAATGTGCCACGCTAGCGTTAGGTCCCTGCGCGCTCGAGCCACGTAGGCTAGCGACCGGACGCAATGCTCAACCGACCTGACTCACTTCAATGCCGCGTCAAGTCACTTCCAGAGACGATCTAGAGCCGCCCAAACGTGATCAGACGCGTCCGCTCGGGGTCGATCGGATGCACCCCTGCGTCTGGTCTTCACCACGCTCGCTCAATCGCCCACGTCTGCAAACGTCAGCCCGACCGGACTCACCCTCCGTGCGTTCGATCATCTCCTGCTTTCAGCGTTCGGTGCTAAACCCTAAGCACCGCTGCCTCGGCACCACTGACCGGATGCACCGGTGCAGAGTCCGGTGCAGCGTCTGGTCACTGCTAGAGACCTCCTCGACTTCACCAACTTCTCTACTCTTGCTCAAATGTGCCAACCACCAAGTGTATCACCTTGTGCACATGTGTTAGCATACTTTCACAAACATTTTCAAGGGTGTTAGCACTCACTAGAATCTAAATACATATGCAATGAGTTAGAACATCTAGTGACACTTTGATAACCGTATTTCGATGCGAGTTTTACCTCTCTTAATAGTATGGCTATCAATCCTAAATGTGATCACACCCACTAGATGTCTCGATCACAAAAAACAAAAGGTCCTATGGATATCACCTTTGCCTTGAGCTTTTTGTTTTTCTCTTTCTTCTTTTCCAAGTCCGAACACTTGATCATCACTATGGCAATCACCACCATCATGACCTTCACCATTTGCTCCACCACTTGGAATGTGCTACCCTATCTCATGATCACTTAGAGCAATGTGTTAGCACATAGGGTTTTATTAATTCATCAAAACCAAACTAGAGCTTTCACCACCACTAGTGACACCACCGATGAGACATCGACACAAGTCTTATTACAAATCGATGGTTTGCCTTGCCAAGCACAAAGTTCTAAAAGACTTGGGGATTGTTAGGAATGACGGGAAGCTCAATGATGATGCAATTGAAGAATATGCAAAGTGTGTGAAAGAACTGTTGCCACCAAACCTACTTGAGTCACTCATGCGTACAAAAAGTTGTGCTTTCTAGGATCTTGTGACGGCGATCTCTTTGCCTCTTCGCTAGGCTTTGTTGTTATTGTTGTCATTTTAGTTGTTGTTCCCTTGTTGTTTATCTTGGTAGTTACTTTCTTTGTCGTTAGTTCCATCGTTGTTCACTTGTTGTCTCAGGTTTGTTGATGTTGCATTGTTGTATACTCAGACTGGGCTTCTTATTTTTAATATAACTAGACGCATACCCCGCGCGTTGCTACGGAAATTATGGATTAGTGGATTACGTTGTATGATGATGTGGACAACAAAATGCCTATGTGTCTTGTTGATGTGGACATTACAGTTGCATGTGCTAGTAGATTTTAATTGTATGTGATAGTGCATTGCCTAGTTGGACATCTTGCATGTTGAGATAAATAGCTAGTGGGGTTTTGCTTAGTGGATTTTAATTGTATGTGATAGTACATTGTTAGTTGGATAGCTTGTATGTTGAGATAAATAGCTAGTGAGGTTTTGCTTTATAAGAGTATATGATATATGATTCGTTAAAAAAAAATTATCATATAGTACAAGTAACTCGAATCTCGTGGTGTATATGTATGATCATGTCACTAGACGTTTTCCAACTCTCTAGTGATACTGAGATCAATGTTCATGAGCAATTTCCTCGAATATGTTTCCATAAAAAAAAATCCTTGAACATTTGTGTTTTTCGAACTCGGAAAACTCAAGTACAAATTTTAAGCTCAAAATAACTTTTCTGTATATGTTTGGCTCTACCAAACTAGTACTCCTACATGTGTGCTATGTTTTTGGATGAAAAAAAATACTGGTATACGAGTGCCACAGTGGAATCTGCACGCAAAACACTTCCGTAGTCCCATGACAAGTGGTCCCGCGCGCCTAACCCGTTCTCAATCACACTGGCTGCACTACCCCACTACCCTGCTCCGGTGCCTCCGCTTCCCAACCAAGCACGCCGCAGGCCGGCACGCGCGCGTCTTCTCTTCCCGCTGGCAGCTCTCCCTCTTCGTCTTCTTCCACCCACTTCGATCCTCACTCATCAACAATTAGCAGTGATCCTACGCGAGTGCGCGCGCCATTTGTTCGGCGGCGAGCCGGCGACCATGTTGTCGTCCTCGGCGATGCCGCCGGTGTCGCCACGGGAGCACGTGGAGAGGATCCGGCGTGAGCGCTACTTCATCGGGCGCGGCGAGCAGAACCCGCTGGCGGAGGACATGCACCAGGCGGTGAACTACCTCAGCCAGGAGCTCTACTCCAAGGACGTCCACTTCCTCATGGAGCTCATCCAGATATTTCTATTTCGACCTGCGCCCTGCGGTATATATATATCCCGGTCCATTTCGATCTGTACATACTCAGACCGGACCGCTCCATGCATGGTTCCTTGTTAGGCAATGTACCATTCTTTTGTGTAGCCAAAATGCAGTAAGTCTCTACTCACTCGATCTCACTCAATTCTCAATCACAAATAATGAACAAGCACTCAAGAACACTATGGTATTGGCGCTACAAAGGGGCCACATGTGGTTCTTGCTCGAGTGACCTGAATTTCTTTGGTGCAACAACAGACAGATTAGAGTCAAACCAATTTTCAAGTTTTTTTCTTTTTCCTGTTGCAAAATGGTGTCCTACATTATGCTAATTTGCATTTATTCACCATAAGATAGACATGGTAATGAGACTCTCCATTGCACTCTAGTGTGGGTTCTGGATTGTCAATATTCTGTTAGCAATTTCAGTTCGAACAGTTAAACCTCTAATGTGAAAGAAAATATATAGGGAATACTATTATGATACTTATTTGTTTTCCAATTCCACAAATTAAGGTTTAACAAACATTTCAACTGTGAAATATTTTTGTATCATGTGAAGCCATAACGCGGGACTGAGCCTTACAGAATCAAGAAAAAAGATGCCAAATGTTGTTCCCATTTTACTATTTTTTATTTTTATTTTTAGCATTTCAGTTTCTAATGTTTTCGTCCTGAAGTAAGTGTGATATGTGACGTTTCATTGTACATTACTAGATATTACAGATTTACAGTAGTAACTTCAGAAAATCTGTTTACCATTTTTACTATAATACGTACCTTTTCATATGGTGTGACATCAGAATGCTGAGGACAATGGTTATCCTTCTGGAGTGTTACCAGCTTTGGAGTTTGTAATCACATCGAAGGACATCACCCGCACTGGAGCAACTGCAACCCTCTTGGTATTCAATAACGAGAATGGCTTTACTCCAGCAAACATTGAATCCATATCTAGAATCGGAAAGTCAACCAAAAAGTCTAACAGAGGTAGTGGTTATATTGGGGAAAAAGGTACATCCTTGTATGACTATCACCTAAAAGTCTAAAACTTAGAATCTGTATCATTCAATGTATTGGTTGACAATAACCTTTTACAATGCTGCTTTTATTTTTAGTCATGCTCTTCTCTATTTTTTTTTAATATTATAAAAACTTGAGGAAACCTACTTTGTTAATTTTATGAAATTTGGTTCCTTTTCATGCAGGTATTGGTTTCAAAAGTGTGTTTCTGGTGTCCAAGAATCCCCATATATTTAGCAATGGGTATCAAATTAAATTTAGTGAAGATCCTTCAGTAGACTGTGGTATTGGGTATATTGTTCCAGAATGGGTTGAAGATTATCCAAGTATTGCAGACATAATGAACATATATGGCTGTCTGAAAAGCCTCCCAACCACAACTATCATATTACCTCTGAAAAGTGAAAAAATAGATGCTGTGAAAAAGGAGCTCTCTGGCACACACCCTGAAGTACTATTATTCCTTTCGAAGATTAGACAAATTTCCGTGAGGGAGATTAATGATGACCTGAATGCTACTAGTCTTAGTCAGATTTCTATATCATGTGAAGCTGATGCTTTAACTAGGAAGAACATTGGTGCAGAGTCATATACTCGTCACTTATCAGCTTTGGAGAACAAGACAGGTGAGCGTCAATGCAGCTACTACATCTGGAAGCAACATTTTCCTGTGAAACCAGAATGCCGTGTACAAAAGAGAGAAGGAATGGATCAGTGGGTTGTCATGCTAGCATTCCCCCATGGCCAGAGATTGAGCCAGGGGATGGGATCACCTGGTGTTTATGCATTCTTGCCAACTGAAATGGCAACAAACTTTCCTTTCATTATCCAGGCTGATTTCTTGCTGTCATCATCTAGAGAATCAATCCTGCTTGACAGCCAGTGGAACCAAGGGATACTAGAATGTGTATCTTCTGCTTTTGTAAATGCTTTCCTTGTATTACTGAAATCAATAGAAAGTGCTCCAGCATTTGCTCTTCCACCTATTTTCAAATTTCTGCCACTTAGTCACTCTTCCATAGTGCTGATGGATTCTGTCCGGCTATCTATAAGAAATAAGCTGATCGATGTGGATATAATTTTGTGTGAGACCTGTTCTTCACTAAAAGTATTCGGTAAGCCTACAGAGGTTTTCCGGATAGAGTCTGCATTCTGGAGCATCATAAACAGGGCAGTGAAGATGGGAGTTGATGTTCCCAACATTTCATCGCATGGGACTCATATTCTGAATTCCTACTTTGACAGCGAAGTATATGATGATGAGTTAGGATTTCTTGATATTGGTTATGTTGATTCTGAGTGGTACGGAAAGTGTATTCAGGGTTCAGATCTTGTGGCACTGCTGCCTGAAGACATTTATTTTGATCTTCTCACTTTTGTTGCTCAGAACTGGAAGGCTAAGTTTGATAGGACAAAGATGGAGAAAATACCACTTGTGAAGTGTGTCGGCAGAGGTGGTCTACTAACTTACATGAGTGTGTATGAAGCCACAATGGGCGATGAGAGACTATGCATGCTATCTGATGAGGAATGTGTACCATTGATCATTAACTGGAATAATGAATTCTCAACAGCGTCTCGGACACTCTTTATGCCACTGTCTACTCAGAAAGCACTGGGTCTGTTTCCGAAGAAAACAACTGTAATGGAATGGCTTGAGAAGTATGTAGGAGTGAAGAGTCTGACCCTACATGAGTATGCTCTTGTTGTTGTGAAAGCTTTGCATGAGAAAAACATGGTTCTTGCTTTTACTCGATTCATATATCACTTGCATTCAGAGAATTTAATGTCAGAATGCAATGTAAAGCATATATGCAATTTAATGCCCATAGTTGACAATTGTGGTTGTGTCGTTGCTGCAAGAAGCATGGTTCTTGTTCCATCTAAAGGAAGTAAGTGGGCTGCATTGTTGGGCAAAAATCCATGGAAGGCACAAAACTATGTCGAACTTGGAGATGATTACATCTATGCTAGAAATTCCTCTGGGGAGCATACATGTGATGATCAGTTTTTATCATTTACAAGGACATTTATACATGCCACTGATGTGCCTTTTCTGCTTCCTCCTGATGCTGGTTTTCCTGTTGTGTCATCTTCATTAACTACAGAGAAAGCACTTCTCCTTCTGGAATGGATTGAGAATTTAAGTACAAGGGGTATATGTATACCTAAAAAATTCTTAAGTTGCATCAAGTATGGGAATTGGCTCAAGACATCTGTTGGATACTGTTCACCAGCAGATTCGTTCTGTTCAAATGCAGAATGGGGTTGCTTGTTTCAGGATAGAGTTGCCTTTGCTGATGTGCCAATGATTGATCAAGAATATTACCTGGGCAAAATTATTGATTTCAAGGAAGTATTGGGAACACTAGGTGTGAGGTTTGAATTTGCTGAAGTGATGTCATACATAGGTAATCATTTTTTCATGTCAATGGTAACAGGTACTCCAACGGGTGACATGGTGTTATCACTGCTCCGTTTCATCAGATTCCTTGAACAGGAACACATACAGTCTGATCATCTCATTGAGACCGTCAGAGGCGGCAATTAGCTCAAGACTTGCTCTGGGTACAGATCCCCAGTCGGATCAGTTCTTTTCAGTTCTGAATGGACAGTACCATCTGAAATAAGCAGTTTACCTTTTGTTGACATCGATTTCTATGGCCCTGAAATCAATGATTACAAGTCAGAGCTTGGAAAACTCGGAGTTCATGTCACATTAAAAAAGAATTACAATATCATTGTTGATAACTTCAAGATTCCAACAGGTCCAGTTACTTCTGGTGCTGCTATGCTATTATTGAAATGTATCAGATATGCTGACTCATGCAGGAACCTGGTGAAGGTACTAAAGAATCGACAATGGTTGAAGACTAATGCTGGATTTAGAGCTCCCCGGGAAACATTTATCCTCGATCCAGAGTGGAAATGCCTCTTAAAATTTGCTGATGCAGTTCCACTACTCGATTTGCCATTTTATTGTAGTGAAATTCTGACCTACCAGGACGAACTGATGAAGATAGGTGTGGTTCTTAGTTTGGAGCAGGCAAGCAATTCCATAACCAATTATCTGAAGCAACTCTTGTCAACATCTTCTCTTACAAAGGAAATTAGACTTGCTCTGCTCTCATGCTACAAGGATCTGAGGGATGAGCACAAAGCATTCCCTGCAGATATTCTCAAATTTATGCTAACAGAGAAGTGGCTGAATACTACACAAGCTTTCAGGACTCCAGACAAATGTGTGCTCTTTGATTCTTCATGGGAGCCATTGATGGCAGTTGCAAGCCTACCGTTCATTGATGACAGTGACTCGAGCAATGGCATGGGGAAGGAAATATACATATATAAGAAAGAGCTCAAGGCCTTGGGTATTATTGTAGGTTGTAACCAGGGAGCAGACTTCATCTTGTCATGCCTATCTACGGCAGAGAAACCTCAAATGCAGATGCCCAATGTTGTTAACCGTTACACTGGGATGATTGTCAGTGACTCTGGGATCACCAGTGAGAGTACCGAACAGAATGTAGTACCCTTGTCTGTTGCTCACAGCCCACCTTTACTTGTGAGCTCAACTCTTGAATCTTTGTTGAAATGCATGCAGACATGCACCGATCCCAGAAACTTTGCAGCACAAATTAGAAAGATGCAAATGAAAACAACTCTTGAATACAGGTACGCAGATCAATGTATCCTTCATGACTTGGCATGGTCTTCATATCTCCGCAGGGAAGATGGTCCTTTCATCGATGAAGCATTCTATGGCTCTGAAATATTGTCATACAAGACTGAGCTCAGACTGATCGGAGTGGTTGTGGACATTGGCTACGGATGCACTCTGTTGGAACAAGACTTAAAGCACTTTTTGAGAGTGGATACCATAACCAGGATCTACAGATACTTTGCAGCTTTTAAATGGGATCCTAGAAATAAAAATGAAAGCTGGATTTGGATACCCAATGGAAGAAGCAGTGGCCACTGGGTGCGCCCTGCAGATTGTGTTCTTCATGACAGGAACTGCCTGTTTAGTACGCGCTTCTCAGTCTTGGACAAGTACTATGAAAAGGATTTGCTTGGATTCTTCTCCTCCACTCTTGGTGTCAGGCACAGCCCAAGAGTTTTAGATCACAGCATTCTGTGGCGCTCGTGGGAGTGAACATGTTCTGAGCTGACTCCAATTAGCTGTTCATTTTTCTGGGATTACATTGGAAACCGTTGGAATGCGACAACAGCAAAGCTCTTTTCAGGGTCTGTCACAAGAGTCGCTGTTCTATCCTGTGGCAAGATCATCCTGCGGGAGGTGGAAGATGTCTTTGTTCCAGATGATCTCTTCTTGAAGCATTTGTTTGATCAGTTTTCTTCAGAGCCACTATTTGTTTGGTATCCGTCGTCTGGGCTGTCATTCACTGCTCGATCTAAGATGGATACTATCTACCAGAGCCTCTGTCAAGCGCCTTGGCACTCAACGACGGCGGCCCGCGACTACGTAGTTCGTAGTCGCGCTCCAGTCCTCACCGCGAGGTTATACCCCTCTGCTGGTGGCTTAACGAGAGTAGAGGTAGGAGATTAAATGATAACTGATTGCTTGCCTTCATTGTTTTGAGTCCAGGGAATATATGAGCCAATCGGCTAACAAACTGGGAAACAAACGATCCTAATTTTAAGGCCTAATTTTCTCCTAGCCACTGGGCCCGGCCCTGCCATCCATGTCCGAGGTGATCGCGGTCCTTGCCGCGTCGTGCGCTGCAGCCCGCTCTGCTGCCCTGCGGATGTCTCGCGCCCTGCGCTGCCTTGCGAATGTCCGGCCCCACATGACATCTCTCCCCTCCTCGAGAAGCAGCTCGTCCTCGAGCTGGAAGCTTGGAAATTGCTCGCGGAACGTGTCGAGGTCTTCCCAGGTGGCTGACTCCGGCGGTTCGCCGCGCCAGTGGACGAGCAGCTGGCGAACGCCACGCGCCAAGCGAGCCCGCTCAACCCGAGCCGGCTCTAGAGTTACCACGCCATGGTGGATGTGTGGCAGTGCAGGTGGAGTTGACGGAGGCACGCCGCTGAACTTCTTGAGGGCGCTCACATGGAACACGTCATGGATGCGAGCCTGCGGCGGAAGGTCCAAACGTACAGCCATGTCGTTGATGAGCTCGGCGACGCGGTAGGGCCCGATGTAGCGCGGCTTCAGCTTGCCCGTAGTAGCCTGGGGTAGGGAGGACATGGTGCGCTGTCGGAGGCGCAGCAACGCCCAATCGCCCACCTGATAAGACACTTGTCGATGATGCCGATCGTAGTGGAGCTTCTGAACAATCTGCGCCTGTTCCAGGCGATAGCGGACGTCGGCGAGAAAGGCTTCGCGTTCCTCCATGTCGCGAGCCACGGCAGCAACCCGAGTGTCTCCCGGCTCGTAAGAGCGGATGGTGGGTGGGTCGCGGCCGTACACCACGCGGAACAGGGTCTCCCGGAGCGAGGACTGGTAGGCCGTGTTATACACGTACTCAGCCCAGGGAAGCCACCGCAACCACTGCCGGGGTCGGTCTCCCGTGAAGCAACGCAGGTACATGACGATGACGCGGTTGGCCGCCTCCGTCTGGCCGTCAGACTGAGGGTGGAAGGCGGACGTCATGTGCAGCTTGGTGCCCATCAGCCTCATGAGCTCGCGCCAAAACAGCGAGGTGAACACTGGGTCGCGGTCCGAGACCACGGACTGCGGCATGCCGTGGAGGCGCACAATGTCGGTGAAGAACGCCTGGGCCACGGTCTCGACGGTGTACGGGTGCGCCAAGGGGATGAAATGGCAGTACTTGCTGAAGCGGTCGACGACGAAGAGAGGATCACGGACTTCCCGTTCACTCGCGGCAAGGCCTCCACGAAATCAAGGCCGATGTCGGCCCAGACGATGGTAGGGATGGGCAGCGGCAGGAGGAGCCCGGCGGGGTGTGCTCCGACTTGTACCTCTGGCAAGTGACGCACTCCCGAACAAAGTCCTGCACACAGCGACGCATGTTGGGAAAATGAAAATCGCGGCATAGTCGATGCAGCGTGCGCTGGACACCCTCGTGTCCGTCGTCGTGGACGACCGCCACGATCTCCTGCAGCAGTGGCGAGGCCGGCGGTATGTAGAGCCGCCCGTCATAGGTGACCAGGCCGTCGGAGATCACCCATGGTGTGGCACGCGTGCCCGCGCTGATCTCGTCGTGGACAGCCACCAAGGCCAGATCCGTGGCCTGAGCGTGGCGGAGGCGGCTGATGAAGTCGAAGCGGGGGCCCGAGACTGCCATGAGTGCGCCTGTAGAGTCCTCCTCGGTGTCGCGGCGTGAGAGGGCGTCGGCCACCATGTTCGTCTCGCCGGACTTGTACTCAACGGTGAAATCAAAGCCCATCAACTTGCCGACCCAGTGATGCTGGGGAATAGTTGCGAGGCGCTGGTCGAGGAGGTACTTGAGACTGTAGTGGTCCGTCTTGATGATGACGCGGCGCCCCCATAGGTACGGTTGCCAATGGCGGACGGCGAGGACGAGGCCGATCAGTTCCCGCTCATAGGCCGCAAGGGAACGATGGCGAGGCGCCACCAGTCGGCTGAAGAATGCAATCGGGTGCACCTCCTGGATGAGCACCGCCCCGAAGCCGTAAGTGGACACGTCACACTCCACGATGAAGGGCCTGGAGAAGTCCGACAGGGCCAGCACAGGGGCTGACGTCACCGCCCCTTTGAGGGCTGTGAAGGCCGCCGCGGCATCGTCGTTCCATGTGAACCCCTCCTTCTTCAGGAGCGCGGTGAGGGGTGCGGCGATGGCGCCGTAGTTGTGGACGAATTTCTTGTAGTAGCCCGCTAGCCCGAGGAAGCCGCGCACAGCGCGCGCAAAGCGGGGCCGCGGCCACTCATGGATGGCCTGGACCTTAGCGGGATCCATAGCCACGCCGGATGCGGAGATGATGTGGCCGAGGTAGCTGACGGAGGCGACGCTGAATGAGCACTTGGACCTCTTCACAAAGAGGCGGTGTTGGCGTAGAATGGTGAGGACGACGCGGAGGTGTCGAAGATGGTCCTCCCAGCTCTTGCTGTAAATCAAAATATCGTCGAAGAAAACGAGGACAAACCGGCGGGGGTGAGCGCGGAGCACGTCGTTCATGAGCACTTGGAAAGTCGCTGGGCGTTGCACAGCCCGAACGGCATGACCAAGAACTCGTAGAGGCTGTCGTGGGTGCGGAACGCCGTTTTGTGGACGTCCTCCGGCCGCATCCGCACCTGGTGATACCCCGACCGAAGGTCGAGCTTGGTGAAGAGGCGCGCGCCATGGAGCTCGTCTAGGAGCTCGTCGACGACAGGGATGGGGAATGCGTCCTTGACGGTGAGGGCGTTCAAGGCGTGGTAGTCGACGTAGAAACGCCATGAGCCGTCAGTCTTCTTGATGAGGAGGACCGGTGAGGAGAACGCCGAGTCGCTGCATCGGACGATGCCCTGGTTGATCATGGCGGCACATTGCCGCTCCAGCTCGTCCTTGTGGGCCGCCGGGTAGCGGTAAGGATGGACGGCCACAGGAGGAGCGTCTGGCTTGAGAATGATGCTGTGGTCACGGGCGCGGGGTGGAGGCAGTCCCACGGGCTCGGCGAAGACGTCCTCAAAAGTGGCCAGGAGCTCATCGAGTAGGGACGTGCTAGCCATCGCGGAGTGGAGCCCTGGCGCGCTGGAAGGCGGCACCCCGGTCCAGCAGAAGTCACGCCCCCGTAGCTGGAACGACATGGTGTGCTTGGCGAAATCCCAGACAATCGGTCCGAGGGTGGCCATCCATTGGGTGCCCAGCACCAGATCGTATCCTGCAAGGGGCATGACAAAGAGGTCGATGTTGAAGTTAGTGCCGTCGACGGAGACTGGTGCGGCCCGGATGACGCGGGGGCATGTGATCCGCTCACCATTGGCCACGATCGCCGTGAGTTGAGGCCTGGGCTGGACCGTCAGCCTGGTGCCCGACGCGGCACTGGCGGCGATGAAGTTGTGGGTAGACCCACTGTCGAGGAGGGCGACGAGCGTGGTACCGCCCAGCGAGACGGCGATCTGCAACGTCCCGCCGAACGGCACTCCTGCCACTGCGTGCAGGGAGAAGATCAGCGACTCCGTCTCCTGCTCATCGGTCGCGACTGCTTCGTCGGTGTCGGAGATCTCCACGCCGCCGATGTGGAAGATGCGTCGGCAGACGCGATTGTGCCCCCTGGTGTACTTTTCGTTGCAGTTGTAGCATAGGCCCAAGCGGCGGCGCTCCTCCTGCTCCTCCTTAGAAAGGCGCTTCGCCGGCCGGCCGTCACCCTGGTTCGCGGGTACCTGAGCCTTATCGGTGGCGGCCGTGGGCGCCGGGAGGGCCGGACGCAATCCCGGTGCTCCCAGGACGCCGCGCGCAGGGCCCTTGGCCGGAGCGGCGGTGTACTGTTCCATGAGCTCGAACTGCCGGGCAAGGCTCATGGCGGCCGCAAGGGTGTGCGGGTTTTGCATCTGGACCTGGAGGCTGAGCGGCGGCAAGAGCCCCCCCCGTGAAGAGCTAAACCCTCTGTGCCTCGTCAAGGCGACCGGCTCAGGGAAGCAGTGCCTGAAAGCGGTCCTGGTAGTCGGTCACCGTCCCCGTGCGGCGGCAGGCCGACAGCTCGAAGAGGGGCGCCGAACGGAGCGGGGGCCCGTAGCGGAGGTTGAGGAGCTCCGTGAAGTGCGGCCATGTCGGCGTGCCCTCGTCCTCTTGGACCTGCATGTACCACAGTTGGGCTCCCTCCTGGAGATTGTACGATGCCATCCAAACGCGCTCCTCGTGCATGATCCGCTGCTGCAAGAAGAAGGACTTGCATTTGTTGATGAAGATCAGCGGGTCACTCTTGCCGTCGTAGTGCGGGAATTCGGGGCGCCAGTGCTTCGGCGGCCGATCTTGGTGGTGTTCGCCCGTGCCTGGGCGCCCTCCGGATGCCGAGGATCCGGTGACGGAGAGATCATGGATCGCCTTCGCGTTGGCCTCGATCAACTTGTGCATCAGTTATATGTTCTTGGCGAGTGCGTCGATGGACGCCTTGAGATCGTCTCCCATGTCGTCGGCGGAGCAGGAAGCGACGGACGACGAGGTTGGAGATGCAGCGGCGGCGGATGGTGGTGTGGCTTCGGTGGTTGGCGGCGGGGCGGGCTGGACAGTAGCGGAGGAGGGAGCGGATCGACGAGACCAAGATACCAGGTTGTCAAGCGCCTTGGCACTCAACGACGGCGGCCCACGACTACGTAGTTCGTAGTCGCGCTCCAGTCCTCACCGCGAGGTTATACCCCTCTGCTGGTGGCTTAACGAGAGTAGAGGTAGGAGATTAGATGATAACTGATTGCTTGTCTTCATTGTTTTGAGTCCAGGGAATATATGAGCCAACCGGCTAACAAACTGGGAAACAAACGATCCTAATTTTAAGGCCTAATTTTCTCCTAGCCACTGGGCCCGGCCCTGCCATCCTCGTCCGAGGTGATTGCGGTCCTTGCCGCGTCGCGCGCTGCAGCTCGCTCTGCTGCCCTGCGGATGTCTCGCGCCCTGCGCTGCCTTGCGAATGTCCGGCCCCACATGACAGCCTCGGTGTTCGAGCAATCTCCAAGTCTGTCAGAAAAGTTGAATCCTGTGATTTGAACATGCATCGCTACCAGGTAGTTGAGGCAAGAGATGCTTTTGTATCACCAGGCTTGCTCAGAATAATCCTAGCTTTCCTTGCCAACCCCGTTCTTGAGAACGGTGCCGACAATAGGCACCAAATGGCTTCATACCTATTGGACATGAAGATCTTTGAGATGACCGAACCAATTAGTGTGAGCTACAATGTAAAGACATCATTGGGAAGAACTGTGACTGTTAAAGGACGGAGGATATTCAGGTGGGAGAGGGAGAACCGCAAGTTGTACATGCAGAGATCTGATGGGCCACATGGAAGGATAACTAGGATGGAGATGGCGACAAGCTTTGGCGAGGAGATCTCTCAAGGGCTGCTGTATGAGAGAGTTGATCTGATTCCGACTCTCACCGATCTTCTCAAGGTTGGATTCTTGGTTGATTTTGACGAGGATGAGGTTGAGTTCCTGCTCAGGAGCAAGAATCTCCAGCTTTTTTCAGAGGATGAAGATTTCATCATGGGTTCATTCTCTTCTCACTGACTCTGAGGTTCTGATCTCAACTTAACATTAAGAAGTTAGCACTGTTTTTCTCGAATGTAGGTCATCGTTTTCGTTTCTTACCTGTGTAAAATACTCTTGTTACTTGTAGGATGACCATGGTTGCTGAATGCAACATTTTTTAGTGGTATTGAACATCCTACATGTGTAGGTCCTTCTCTATCATACCCGTATCCATACCCAGGCCCCCGCGTCGCTCTCCCGAGCGACTCGGGCGGCGCCTCCCATCCCCAGCCGCAGGGACCGCCCTCCCCAGCCTCTCGCCCTCGCCGCCGCCGGAGCAGGCTGCCCGGATGCCTGTGCAGCTGCTAGGATGGCGGCGGCCGGGCCTTTCTCCTCCTCCTCCTCTCTCTTTCTCTGAGGATGGCAGCCATGGGGCGATGGCCGCCGGCGAATGGTGGTGATGGTGGCTTCCTCTTGGCCGCTGGAGCGCAGATCCGCGGCGTCGTCGCCCGGATCCGGCGAGGCAGGGGGCGGATTTGGCGAGTCGGTGCCTGGGCGGCTCGGGCGGAGCCCCTCGGCCCCCACCACCGGGCCTCCCCCTCCCCACCCCCTTCCCCTCGCCGCCGCCGGAGCGCGCCACCGATGGCTGGTGGCCACGAGGAGGGTGGTGGCGGGGCGTTTTTCTGGCTGCGCGGGTGACTATGGGGGGGTGGTGGCGTCGCTGCCGCCGCCGCCTCCGCCTTCCGGTGGTTCCGGCATCCGCGGGCCGAGCTCTGCGCGGATATGGTGCCCCCCGCCGTGGATCTATGGCGGCGCGGCTACGGCGGCGACGAAGGCCAGGGCGTCGATGCGGGCGTGGCTGTGGCTGCGGCAGGGCCCGTGCGCCTGCACGGGCGTGGCGGCGAGGCTGCTCTAGCTCCCCTTCCTCCGGATCCGGCCATTCTGCGGCTGCAGCTGCTGCCGTCCATGTGGATCCGGCCGGAACTCGCCGGTGCGGGCGGCGGTGGAGGGCAGGGGTGGCATGACTTCAAGGCTCCCTATTTTCATTGTGCTGGATGTGGGCGAGCACCGGTGAAAGCCATGTCGGATCTGCCGGCAAGACGACGGTGACGCCTTCGGGCGTCGTCTTCCTCCTTGGAGGCGTTGTCATGGTGTTTTCCCACTCCGGCCGATTGCAGAGGTGCGTTGGCTGTGCCGTGGTGGCGTGGCCGACAGCGGCTTGCTTGGATGCGTGCCAGTGACCATGGTGGTGTGGCTGGCAGTAGCCAACCAGGGGCACGAGTGGCGCCATGGTGGCGTGGCTGGAGGAACCTGGCTGCTTCTTGAAGGCCAAGAGGCGCTGGCTCGGCGCGGTGCGAGGAAGGCAGCAAGGGGGCCATGGAGGTGTTCGTACGGTGGCAGCGAGTGGGCAGCGCGGTGCGGTGATGTCAGCAAAGTGGAGGCTCATGTCGATGACCCAATCCGACCGAGCGGAGGTTTTTCGGTTGAGGCTCGTGTCGATGTCCCAATCCGATCGGGTGAGGTGAAGGCCAAGGTGGTGAGCTGTGTCTCTAGAAGCTTTGTGTCCGTGCACGTGGTGCAGCTGAGATTCTGGTGGCGGCTAGACGAAGGTGAAGTTAATGGAGTGGCTCGGTGGTACCAAATCACCCCGACGGTGAAGCAAGCCCGGATTCTCGAAGAGTCCAGCGGCGGGAGTGGCGAGGCCCCCGTGCGCTTTAAGGTGGTGTGTCCGAGGAGTGGTGTGCGGCGGTGGATGTGGCGAGGCCCCCACGCTTGAGTTGCCTTGGAGATCTAGGATCCGGTGCGGTGTTTTGATCGTTTGGCGTGTAAGGTGCAGCAGCGGTACTTCGGCGAGGGGTTCTGCATGGCGGTGGCCTCTTCAGTGTGGTGCGGTGGGCTTCTCTTCTGACTTCTGCCAACATGGCCGTGGTTGGGAGATCGACAATCGTGTGTGCGTGACCTAAAGACGATGATGGCATGGTGGGGGAGTCGTGGTAGCTACACGGCTTGCAGCGGACTGCGGTGGCTAGTTCTGCATGGCAGCGACTGGTTGGTGTGGGACATCGTCGGTAGCGATGGCGCTTGCGGTGAGGGCTACTTGTCGGCTCTACTCTAGGTTTGTGGGGGTGCGGCGTGGGGAACTGTTTGGAGTTGAGTGGAGTTGGTGTGCCCGTGTTAATGTCTCAATCCAACTGGCAGTTGTTGAGTGTGGCTCGTGTCGATGTCCCAATCCGACCGGCAAGAGTTATTTTTCTTTTTCTTTTGTTGAGTTTGTTTTGCGACGTGGTTATTGGCCATTGTTATTTCGTTGTGCCCATTTTGGGCTTATCTTCTTTTTAATATAATCGACAGTTCTCCTGCCTGATTCGTTTCAAAAAAAAAATCCTACATGTGTGAAAGGTCTGATCTAGACGGGGTCCATATTATCTATATACTATGCACTACTGACAAATAACCTTCATGTAATATTCAGGTATTTTTATCATTTTTTTTCTGGTGTACATTATTCTTGAGGTTTTGTTTTTTTTTTCTTGTGGTGTACATATTCAGGTTTTGATTGCTTACTAGCATGCTTTGAATGCTTTGAATATGGCTCTACTAATTTCTTTGCTAGTATCTGCGTGTTATATCTTAACTTTCTGTATGTATGTTAGTGATATGTCCTTACTTTCTGTATGTAAACGGTGATTACCGTGCTTGATGAATTCTGACTTATATTCACGACGTGACATTTTTGCTCCTATTTGCAGGTTGCTATTCAAATGGTTGGCTTGTCGATCTCAAGCACAAGTACGGCAGTCTCTGTGGCTTCAAAATCTTATCCTTTTGCATCTCAATTGTCAACGCTAGCTTATTTGCTGGTTTACATTTTGATACGAATTATGAAATCACTGGATCGCATCTGTTCTTGGTTAGTCTGTCAGTCTTTTGGTGGCACTTTACAAGTTGTGATATATCGTTCATATGCTTCTTCTTTTTTCTGATTATAATTAACTAGTCCATCAACCCGTGCTCTCGCACGGGACAAAAATTTAGAACACATAAGCATTAGTTACAATGTAATATACCTCTAACTAATAAAAATACCAAAATTAGTAAATTGCATGTTCTTTCATTTTGTTAATTTTCTAACAAAATAGATACTATGATGTCTTTATCCAATTGTGATAAATGTATTAATTGCTAAGCATTAGTTTAAACTAAGGTGGCTCTTGTTGTAGCCCACATCTTCTAATGTCATGAATCTAAAATAAATTACTAATATTAAATTGCACTTTTTTTTCACTTTTTTCATTTTTCAGCACAATAGACTCAACAGATACAATGTTGTATCTATCTGGTTATGATCAATGTATCAATTACTAATATATATGTTTTTCCATCCATATCCATAGCTTTTTCTCTTTGCATGCCACGTCTGTGTAACTCGAATATGAATTTAATTGAAACATTAGCTTAAAAAAAGAAAAGCTTAAACTATGGTGGATCTTGTTGCAACCAATATATTTTGATGCCTTAAATCTAAAATTTTCATTTCCAAATTTAATCTTATTAATTACTACAGTTTTTTATTCTCAAGCTATGTCAAAATTCTTATTGTATATTTATTAACTCTCGTTTTGTACTTAAAAAAAAGGATTTTAGGTTGTAAGTTGTACTCTTAAGTATTATAATGCCATAAACAGTCATTAAAATGTGCACCACATCACTCAAAATTGATGGTAGAGCTTGAAGTGAGATCTAGAACGGTGCTAACCTAGACAGAATTTTAATATTCAAGTCATATAATGATTGCTTACTCTAAAGTATTCCCAAAAGTCAGGAAGATATAGCCACATATGGTCCTGCACTACCCCGGTTCTCAAGATGCGCATTTGAATTTATTTATCAAGGAATTATATGTGCAGTAATGGTTATACTACCAATATAGATAACATTTTAGTTAAAATGTACACCTTCCATCCCAAGTTATAAGTTGTTTTAGACTTTTCTATGTAAGCTTTTTTCATACATTTTGATATACACTATGTCTAGATACATAGGTCCACTATATATCTAGATAAGTAAGAATGCTTTATAACTTGGAACGGGAGAGTAACATATCTAAAGTAAAAAATTAAATAAATTATATGTCATTGTCACTAATATAGTTTTAAATAATGTGTTAGTATCATTCATATATGAGTTGTTAAGAAAAATAATGTGTTAGTATCATTCGTATATTTATCGCTCAAGCATGCATGTGTACTTGATATATACGATAACAATATGTATATTTACTTCAATAATAAAATTCTAATATATTAATATTAATAGAATTTAATAACATAGAAACATATATGAGCTTTATGGTAATTTAAATATTTGTTCAATAGAAGAAGATAACTTAGATGTAGATTTGAGGGGATCTTTCAGTCTTTTAAATAATGAAAAAGTGGTAATTTAGATGCAGATTTAAGTGGTAGTGATTGATTATTTATCATAATAGCAGGTGGGTAATTAGAATTATATTTAGGTTCACTATAGATCATGTTTTTAGTAGTGGGTAATTTAAATATAGATTTATGGGGTTCTTTAACTGCTTTCCACAATCATAGAGGTTAGTCATTATTCAAAAATAGGATGGATCCTATTGGCTATTATTATGAATGGTATTAGAGTCTACCAATCTGATGGCCTTACTTTTTTGGTTTTTGTGAGAAGAATTTTATGTTATGTATTTAGTTGAAACCTAAATTAAGTTATTTAAGTTCTTGTTGCATCTCTTTCTCTAACATCGTAAATCAATATTTTAGCATTCAAATTTTAATCTAGTTGTTGCAATTTTTGTTAAGATAAACCTCTAATGCTTATTGTATATTTTGTTCAAAATCTTCTTTTAGTTTATGTAAGAAAATATTTTAGGTCCTAGGCTACCTTCCTAGTTATTATAATGGTCAATGTTTTTAAGGCGTTGCTTAGGCGTCGCTTAAGCGACGCTTAGGCGTCGGGGCGCTCTAGGCTGGCCTTAGGGGTAAGGCGGCGCCTTGTCACCTTAT